GAGGTTTTGATCTTCCTATAGAAGTCATATTTGATGAAATAACACCCAAAAGGTCCTAATCAAATGCAATTTCTGGGCCTCTGCTATGGTATTGTGACTTTCTGTAGGTCACTTCTTCAAAAAATTGCTTTCAAGCATAAAAAACGCATTCTATTCACAATAACCATGACTTAATTAACTTTCTAAATGATAGAACAACATGAGACATTGGGCTTGATTTACTAAAAAAATTGAAGTAAAGAAGATGGCGAATTTGTACGGTTAAAACACATTTTCTTTGGACAGAGATGTTAGCAAGGTAAAATCTCCAGCAAAGTAGTTGAGTGCGTATCATTACCATGTATAATTCAAACTTTTGCGATTAAGGTTAAAGCATTATTGGATAATAATGAAAGGAAAAACCAATTCTTAACTCGATCGTCCACCGGCCCGCCGGAAATATTAAAAGTAGTATAGCAAGTGTCAGGTAAAAAACATTTGGGCACCGACTCGGTTGCAGCTGAAATCAACCAACGCGACACAGTATATATAGGACTGGACTAGCTCAGGAGATGTGTCATCAAACACAAATTTCGCAATATTTCGAGATCGTAATGGCAGTTCTCGTATGCAATTCCAAAGTAGACTACGATATCCCTGCCCGCATTCAGCCAAGCAGAAATTAGGAGAAAATGACACAAATAGACGAAATTGGCTTTCGTGATCGATCAGACTGGATCTTTTGATTGGTCGCTTTAAAGGGAGAGGAGAACGCTGTAGGCTTGTTCAACGCTGTTTGAGTCGGTAATAATTGAACAGGTTTAAATATGTTTTTCACTGTAGTGGCGCAATGGGCGTGGCATAAGTTTTGCCGCACTGAAAAGGTTCGAATTTTGAAGGTTTATCGCAAGGGGTTAGGTAAGTTACACCCTAGCAACTGCGGTCTTCAGGCCATGGTTCCTTAGGAGAGGAGAAGACAGTGGAGGCCAGAATAGTAGGAAGAGTTTATTGTGCACACAGAGGAACGAAGAATAAGTAGGAAGAAGATTGACTAGGGAGAGCACGTCCTTTCGCTGGAGCGGCGTGATCCGAGGTGCGCGAA